TTATTATTATCATTATTGTTATGATTATTGTTATCAGTATTTGTACCGTACCACTCAGCACATTGCTGAGCGGGTAGTTGTTTGTTTTTTCCTACCCGTAGGATGAAGTACATTCAGCTAAGATAAGGATGCTGGGATGGAAGGAGGCATATGATTCATGTGCATATCATGTGTGTACTGTTTATAAATAAACAAATAAGAAGCAAGTTTGACTTTAAACTTATCTTATCATTTTCGTTTTGTAAACGCTTCCGCATATCATAAAAATATTTTGTGTTGTATAATATTAAGTAAATACTATTTTTTTTTAAATAATTAAAAGTCTTTTGGTTAAATCCATTTTGACTCCTGCCTCGTGACACACCGCTCGGGACGGCGGGGCCGGTTCAGGTAGGGTGTTACAGCTTTAGTAATTCTTATTCTCGTTATATCCAAATTATGAAATCTATAATATCAACCATTTCATTGTGGATCGATCCAGTATTTTACCGGTTTTAATACTACAATAGGCACTTATGTACTTGCAAGTTAATCCTAATCAAGTTTTGGCGCCATTGCGGGGGAAACAGTTTGTTATTATAGAGCTTAAACCCATTAAGAAATCCTTGTTCTTTTTCGTTCTCCTACTTCTTTTCACTTGTTCTTGTATTATTTTTCATTTCATGTGTGTAGTCTAAGTGTATGCATGCATTTAAGAGGTAAATGTTCTAACATTTTAAACTCTTGAATTTGAAATAGAAAGGACTTTCAAAGACAATCAGAATTAAAGAAAGGAAGCAAAAATGAAGTGAACACTCAACGAGAGGAAGAGGCTTGTTGTTGCCTCTACTACATCTTGCATTATCCTAAGCGAGACGGTAAGTAGTAATGTATTAATTCCCTAAATTATGGTTTCCATCTTTTATTAGTTTCCTATTGTATTTTGGACACTTATTCTCTATATATATGACATCCAGGGCTACATATTGGGTATGTCATTCCATTATTCTCACATTGTATCAAGAGCTCTAGGGTTTTAGCCAGTTTAGTATTTTTTTTCCAATCCATGGCCTCTCAAGCTTCGGCCGCCGCTGCCACCGATGCTGTCGTCACCACCGCCGCCATTCCAACGACGGAGGTTGACCAGCCTGTTTTGAGCGCGGTACAGATGAGCCCCATCATGACCGAGCCGCCTCTGCAATCCGTCTTCACCAACGACGTGCCGCTGTCGCCGCTGAGCTCCGCATGGGTGCCGCCGCTCTTTACTTGGACCCCGACGCTCAATCTGCCGCCTTAGTTCACGGCTGACTGATGTGAGTTTTCTCGCACTTAAAATGGATGTAGAATAGTGGTGTAAAAGTACGAGTATCGTCTCCACAGGGACGGACAAAAGGGAATTAAAGATTAACTAAATTCAACGATTAAAAAGAAAGAAATAAAATAAAACGCAATTGTGCGAGTTTGGTTGGTTGACTAAAATAAAACTAATGCTAATGAGCGAGTAAAAAGATTGGGTTTTCCTTAATTAACGACGAAGGGAACAGGGATTGATTCCGGGGTTAACCAGATTTCTGGCAGATCAGGCCTAATTACATGAAATTGATTTAATTGAGCCTAGCTAATCATTACTAAGTTCTTGCCGGTCTCGCGGCGTAGAGTACAATAATTTAGGGGACCAGGCTGATCTCTCATGCGACAAGATCCTAAATTATTGCCAAAATGAGCGAGCTTACGGCCCCTTAATCGCTACTAATCTCTTAGCGAACGATTGAGTGTGTGTGAATGTGTCCTAGAATAAACTAGATCTCTCTTAATTTATTCTACTAGCAATTGTAATTCTAGCGGCCGTTCTAGGTTACAAGAGATATCAGTTAAATTATTCAAACACAAATTAAACGACATTCATGCAATTAAACCGAAAGGAATCTAGCCATACATCATGATCAACCCCTTCATCAACCCCAAATCCCTAATTAAACTACTCACAACTCATAGTTGAAGAATCAACAGAACTGGGAAGAATAGAAATAATTGTCATTAATTAAAAAGATGAACTTACAAAAAATCCAAGGTTCTTGGAGTAAAATAACGTTAAACGCATATAAAAATCGTCCCTAGGCCTCTCCGTAATGTTCGTAACCTTCAAAAAGGGTTAGGGAGGCCTTATTTATAGAAAAGGGTGGAATTTGGGTAGAATTAGGATTTTCGGAGGCATGCACGATGCCAGGCATGATCGTGCCCGCCTCCGTGCCTGCGGAGCAATCACGTTTCTCGAGTGGAGGCACGATCATGCCTCCCTGCCAGGCACGATCGTGCCTGGCGTCCAGTAGCCTCTCGCGTAATCTCCTTCGGGCACGATCGTGCCCAGGCCCAGGCACGATCGTGCCTGGCCTTTTCTTCACTGTTTCTTGTCGTTTCTTGCTTCAAATGCTCCCGGATGCATACGAGGTCGATCCAAATGCTCATCCTTCATCAGAATTTCGTCGTGAATCTCCCGGTGATCTCCCAATCTCTCAAATCTCTCTTGAATGCTTCCAAACTCTTCCTGATTGCCTCTTTAAGCGTCGATGCCGGTCTCTAACTTCTTCAATTCAACTCCAAATGCAACAAAACTCGACCCAACGCCCGATAATCACAACTTGAGCTAAAAATGAGACTTGCAACGCCTTAAAACTATGAAAACCATCAAATTCCGACTCCAACACGCATCAAATGCGTGTTGTAATATGAACTTATCAGATTCCCCCACACTTAAGCTTTTGCTTGTCCTCAAGCAAATCGAACAACGGGACTTACGATAAGCACCACACAGAATTAAAATAGTTAACATGCACACGTAGTTACAGTGATACTCACAGAACAGACAGTCTAAACCAAGAAAATTCTATCCTAAACTACATCTTTGTACTCAATCTAAACAATTTGGCAAAATTATTCACAACATCCTCAAAGTAATGACACCATACACAAATAAACTCGCCATTGATCAGAAGGACTTGTGAAGGTGATTGTGAATGGTAGATGGTAAGGATAAATAGTTCCTTTCTTGAGAGTTTGGAACATTCTAACAAAGACTTGATGCATTCAGAAATTTCGGGGTTATTCTTATGATCAAAGAACTTAGTAGGCCACAAATTAGGAATAATCATCTAAACCTATGCAAAGAGTAGACATGGTGTACAACTAAGCTAAACTGCCACGACACATTTGTGCTTTGACGTATACTTGAAGTACGCGAAGGACTAAACCATGTTTCTAAACCATGTTTTGCAAATATTTCATGTAATATATGTAGTAATGTAATAAAGTTTCGATTTTGAAAAGCCCGTACCAGTCATCGAATAACAACACAGTCAACCTGAGAATCAGAACCAGATTACACATGTCTTATTTCTCTTGTTTTTTGTTAGACCCTAGACTGTTAGATATCCAATTTATTTAGATCCTGGATTGTATTTGCTTTCACATTTTTTTGATTTTTTTGGGCATACCCATTTCATTCTTTAGGTATGGAACACAGTGGTGATTCCGGAAAACAAAAAAGGTGTAGAATTAGTTGGAAAAACATGAATGTATTGGTTAGAAGATTTGAGACGTCAACGTGCATTGACTAAAGAAGAAATCTGCAATCATACGCATGGATAACTTCGGAATGTAATTGGTCGTACTTCATACCCACGGTGTGTTACTTTGAAAGTAAGGTTTCCGATCTTGAATAATGAAGCAAAAGAGGAAGGTGACAATTTGAAGAAGTAGATGGAGCATAATGAGGCACACAAAATTTACAAGATACGACGAATTTGCAGGATGAAATTGCTTATGGACTAATAGGAAATGTTTAAGTTTAAAATATTGTCATAAATCTCTTAACTTTATCTTATCATGTAATGTGATTTTTATATAAAAAAATTTATCAGGAAATATACATTCAGCACTTGTTCCGGACAGAAGGGTTATTTGGTCATTTAGTTAAATTCAGACCTCCTATTCAGCATCTATAGTAAACAACTTGTTATCTCCGTGTGACTTAATCCAAAGAGACATCTTAATCTAGACAGACGTTGTAATCCATTCAGAACTTAATGAAAAAAGTAAACAACCCCTCAATCTTGTATAGTATATTTTGGACATTTATTTTCTTCTTCATATATCACTATATAATACTACTTCCGTCTTGTTAAGATTGTTCCATTTTACCATTTCGCTCCGTCCCACTAAGATTGTCTCAATCTTATTTGGTGAAGCTTTTGTGGCTCTAAATCATTCTTACTTTATCAATTCAATATTGCTGCAAAAAAAAATCAATTCAATATTAACTACATAAACCACTTTTTATAGATTTGCGCGTCACTCCCTCTTGTCCTATTGTTAGTGGGACGAGGAGAGTAATAATCATCAATTAAAATCTAAAACGCCTTTTCACGCCCAGACTTCGTCTATTCCCGCCTAGGCTTCAAAGGCTTGAGGCTTGGTCTCGACGCCTTGCCACGCCTTACGCCTTTTAGAACACTAGTTAATAGTACGAAGTAATTCTTTACAAATTATTATGAAAGCGATGTCATTAGTATATTCCTAAGTGCGATTAACAGGGCCGGCCCAAGGGGGGAGACCAGTCCCATTGCACATGGCCCCGAAACATAAAATGCCCAAAAAAGGACTAGTCATAGGGTATGTTTGGCACAACTAGCTGAAAAAATACTTTTGTGAGCTTTTTAATAACTGTTAGTTTTTGATGACTGAAAAGATCTTAAAAAAAAATGCGGTAACTGTTTGGTAAAAAGCTGACTGTTTGATTTAGTTCGTTTTGGTATACAAGTTGTTAGGGCTAATTAATACTAAAAGTCACGAGTTTTTTTCACATGCTACTGTCTGTAGCATCTAAAAAAGATCTTTTTATTTTTGAAAAACTCTTAAAAATTGTAATGTCAAACATATAACTAGAAGTTTTTAGAGACTTTTTGAATAGAACAAAACAAGTCAAAGAGCAACCAAACATAGCCCAAGTTCAAAATAGAGAAAGCCAGACAGCCAGAACTCTGTGATTTAACCAAACGAACGATTGAAGGAAGCCCTGCGTCAAGGGCAGTCACCCCATCCGCAGGCCCGTAGCGCGGCAGCAGTCACCGCAGCAGTCGACCAGGGGCCAAGGCAACCTCCGTCCTGCGTGACCTTTGTCTAGGCCTCTAGGTCGCCACCGCAGCTCGCCAGCAGTCCAGCACCGCAGCTCCTTGGCTCCGCACGCCACCAGTTCAGCCTTGTCCATCCGTTCAGCACATCAGCACCCGTGCACCGCACGCCGCCTACTCGCCACCGAAGGTAAGTTTATTTTTTTTGGCTATTTTAACTTTTAAATTATACTACTTATATTATTTAATATATGAATCGTTGATTATGTTTGGATCATTAATAGATTATTTTTATGATTTTTTTTTGAAATTATAAACCTATATGTTTGGTTTGAAGGTGGATGGAAGGAACCTGTCACATTATTTTGACACAGAAACGTAGGAGATTGCCTTTCTGATCTGATACTCTGATCTCAATCTGTGATATTGGTGGTGCAGATAGTAAATGATGTCTTTAGTGTAAAACATAAGAGTATGAATTATGATTTTTGGGTTTGTTGTTCATGGTGCCTTGTTGTTCTTTTGGTTTCTTCTACTTTGTTTTACCAAGGAAGCTCCAGTTTTGATTGCTGGTATTTTTCGTGGGGTTAGGCATTTCAAAATTAGGATGCACAACTATCTCTTTCTTATACGGCGCTTTTTGACGCCTTTTGCGCGTCTGAGAGGCGCACACTTCTCGTGCCTCATGGAAGTGTCTTTGGTGATTCCCATTCCATGTCTTTTTGTGGAGCAGAAAAATGGCAAAGTCATGCAACGGATTAGCTGTGGAACTAGTGAAATGCCTCAGTGAATCCGACTGTGTCAAAGCATGTGTCAAAGCATTTATCTGTCTATCCATTCATCTTCCCCTCATTTATTTTTCATGCAACTCTTTCTAATGCTAACGATTAGTGCTTATCTTATAGGTTCAGAATCAGCCCTACAGGGAATGTGTCAAGGAGAAGACCCCTTCAATTTCTATTGAGTGCGTTGGCTTGAGAGAGACCTACTTCAATTGCAAGAGAGGACAGGTTTCTCTCTCCCTCTCTCTTATGAAAGAGTAATATTAATGGATTTTTTTCTATCTTCGATGTGGTGTAAATATCATCAGAAACATATTTAGCGGGCCATTCCAAATTTGGGTGAATGATTAGGTCTGGGCCAAATCATGGGTGTCAAATACAACTCGACTCGGAAGTATCCACCTCCCATTTATTTATATTTTAGAAATAAAAATGAAAAAGTTATCCAGAACAGGTGCAGGGAATGTTTATTTTTGGCAGCTATGTGACTGAATTTGGGATCAATAGAAGAACTATGGAATGGAATTAACTGGTTGGGTCCGGTATGTATGCTTAGGCTTACAAAGAAGTGTAAATATTTGGATGCAGAAAAGGAATCCCAACAATATTATCCCAGTGCCGCAAAGGCTTCCCCACCTACAGTGGTATAATGGGCCAGATGTATGTAGCCTTACCTTTGTACTAAACATAATAGTCAAACTCGAGATCCTACGTAGGATCGGGAGGGGACTTAAGGATCGTAAATCGTAGGATTGTAACTCGGATCGTAAGATTCTACCAAGATGTTTAGAACTTAATACCAAAAACCATATACTTAATGCAATATAATAAGGGTAAGTTGTAGTAAGCACTAACAGTAAACTAAAATACGTAGTAGTATATTAATAAAATATGGAGTAATAATAATAACATATAATAATGATAATAATAATAATAAAGTAAAAATACGTAGTGGCTACAACAATATCTTAACCCAGTAAGTGCGTAACTATACCTAGTACGTGCGGCCACCGTGTGTCGCCGCCGTCGTGTGTTGCCGTCGTGTGATTATCATTAACGGCCTCCTTGACACTGTCATCTTTATCATCAAGACCGGCTCCCAGCGCCGATGTCTTGATCTAGCGACTGGGCTCGCCACCCCTTCTCGGATGGTGACCGTCGCCTTTATGTGACGATCGGATTATCATCGCCTCGTAATCATATCTCGGACTGGCCCCTCAGTGCCGACGTTCTTACATCACGATCGGCCTTTCGGCATGACGTGGTTATCTTTCCTCAAGACCGGTCTCAGTCATTCCTTTACCGCGTGACAACCGTTGCATGGATTTTCGGGCTGGCCCCTAGATGTCGAGGCCCTTACACCACGACCAAACTTTCAGCATGTTGTGATTATCTTTTTGAAGACCGGTCTCATCCCCGCCCTTGCAGATGGGAACCGTTGCCTAGATTTTCAAATCGGCTTTTCAGTGCCGACATCTTTATCATCAAGACCGGCTCCTCAATGCCGAAGTCTTGGTCTAGTGACTTGTCTCGTCATCCCTTCTCGGATGGTGACCGTCACCCTCACATGACGATCCGCTCATCTTCGTCTCGTCATCATTATCCGGATTGGCCTCCTTGACGCCGTCATCTATATCTGTAAACTGTTAGGATTAGTATCTCTAGCTCTCACACACGGATCTGAACAATAGTAGAAAGAAAAATAAAAACGAGAAGAACGACACACAAATTTAACGTGGTTCAGCAGTAAATGTTACTACCTAATCCACGGGGGTAACTAGGGTTTTCTTTCTTATTGAGGTGATGAAAATACAGTATATGAGGTGATGAAAATACAGTATGATCGTTTACAAGTACAGGAGGCAGTATATATAGGCAAACAATTAGGGTAAACTTTTAATTAAACTCTGGGCCTGACTGCCACCCAAAAACAGGCCCAACTAGGACTGGCTGCACATCTAGCTACGGCTAGCTGCACTTCTAGCTGTTGCTCACTGCTTATTTGGTTCCCAGATCTAAATGGGCCGAAGCCTACACCCCAACAATCTCCCACTTGGAGGCTTCGAAACATGATCAACTGCACTCCACTTCACTCCTTTGTACTTCTGTAAATATCATACCTTCTCAAGCTCCACCTAGTTGCCCCGGCCTTCTCAACACTATTCTTGAAGGCCAGTTGAAGCCATGCAAAGCTTCAAACTTCTCAGTTGTCACCACCTTAGTAAACATATCAGCAGGATTCTTTGTACCAAGAATCTTCGTCAGTAACAACTCTCCATCATTTATCAGCTCCCTGATAAAATGATACTTCATCTTGATATGCTTAGTTCTACTGTGAAACACCAGATTCTTTGCGAGATGAATTGCACTCTGGTTGTCACAATACAAAACACTATCTTTCTGTTCAAAGCCCAACTCTAACAGGAAGTTCTTCAGCCAATAAGCTCTTTGCTTGCTTCTGCAATTGCCATATATTCTGCCTCGGTGGTTGAGAGAGAAACACTACTCAGAAGCCTGGACATCCAGCTAATAGCAGTTCCTCCCATTGTGAACACATAACCAGTAGTGCTCTTACCAGAATCTTGACAACCACCCAAATCTGCATCGGCGAAGCCCTCTAAGACAAGATCTTTCTTGCTGAAACATAATGATGTCTCAGATGTGCCCTTCAAGTAGCGTAGTAACCACTTGACTGCTTCCTAATGCTCCCTTCTCGGATTTGACATACATCTGCTAACCACTCCCACTGCATGAGCAATGTCTGGTCTTGTGCAGACCATAGCATACATCAAACTGCCAACTGCTGATGCATAAGGAACCTTTTCCATTTCTTCCTTGTCTTTATCCGTTTTAGGTGATTGCTTCTTAGTAAGTTTAAAATGACTTCCCAAGGGTGTACTTTTGGCTTTAGCATCTTTTAGATTGAACTTCTCTAGCACCTTCCCAATGTATTTTTCTTGAGATAACTTCAAGGTACCTTCTACTCTATCTCTAGTGATGCTCATGCCAAGAATCTGCTTAGCAGCTCCCAAGTCTTTCATCTCAAATTCTTGAGATAACTGTTTCTTCAGCGTGTTGATTTCTCTCATGTCAGGTCCTACAATTAACATGTCATCAACATATAACAACAATATGATGTAGGAGGATTTGAATTTCTTCAAGTAGCAGCAGTGATCCATAAGACATTTCGTATATCCACTCCTTTTCATAAAGTTGTCAAACTTCATGTACCACTGTCTTGGTGCTTGTTTCAACCCGTAGAGACTTTTCTTCAGTTTGCAAACCAAGTTTTCTTTCCCTGCTATCTGAAAACCCTCTGGTTGCATCATGTAAATATCTTCATCAAGATCTCCATGTAAGAAATCTGTCTTGACATCCAGCTGCTCTAGATGCAAGTCTTCAGCGGCCACAATACTCAAGACTGATCTGATTGTGGTCATCTTCACAACTGGGGAGAAGATCTCATTATAATCCACTCCTTTCTTCTGTTGGAAACCTTTGACAACCAATCGAGCCTTGTACCTCTTGTTGCCGTCGATCTCATCTTTGACCCTGAATACCCATTTATTCTGCAAAGCTTTCTTTCCTGCAGGTAATCTGACCAATCTCCAAGTCTGGTTCTTTTCAAGTGAGCTCATTTCTTCATTCATAGCTTGCTCCCATTGTACGGATTCTTTCATCTTCAAAGCTTCTGAATAGCATTCTGGTTCACCGTTTTCAGTCAATAGCAAATAATTTCCTGAGGGGGAGAATCTTTGAGGACGTCTAGTAACTCTGGTGGATCTTCTAACCCATGTTGTTGGAGGTTCACTGTCAATAGTCTCAGTATCTGAACTCTCAATATCCTCTGTGTTTTCACTATTTCCAGATCCCCCGTTCTCCTCTGAGCTCCCACTATTTCCTGAACTCTGACCAATTTCTGAAGCACTGACAGGTTTCACAATGTCTTCTTCTGAAATCTCATCAAACTCCACTTGATCCTTTCTTTCTGGCATCTTGCTTTGGTTGGGGGCTGTTGCAAGATCATCTTTGTACAGGGCATTCTCATTGAATGTCACATTTCTGCTTCTCATTTGATGAACCAGACATCACATCATGGACGGTCGCTCGGCCTATTCTCTAGTCATCTTTATTTGATGACTAGGATTACTTATCATATTGAGCTACTCACATATGAAGACTGATCTCGACCATCCCCTCAGCAGACAGACACCGTTGCAGCTCCACGCCTCGGCCGAAGAGCTCACCCCTTTTTGCTTCACTTTGGGGCATCCAGTGTATTTTTTTTCCCTTATTAAATTTTTTTCCCACAGGGTTTTTCCTAGTGAGGTTTTTAACGAGGCATCTCCCCAAAGTGGACAAAAGGTGTCAATTCTCGGCCCCCATTGAAGACATCACGAGACATGCACTACTCTACTCCTCTTCACTTCATTACACTCACCTCAAGGAGTGGGGGGACAGGAAGAGCGGGGGACTTAGCGCCTCCGTCGGAAGAGCGGGGGACTGAGCGCCTCCATTAATCAAATAAGCACAAATTCAAAATTTTCGCGAGATTTGCCACATGCATTAACTACATCATCACGTCATATACAGATTCAGTTGACACAACAACAAAGTACATACACATAGACCCTCGGCCTCAAGACCAGTGGTCTCCGGTCAGCGACCTTCGGTAGAGGATTCTCCCATAGAGTTGCCTTAGTCAGGGCTCACCGATGAGATCGGATCAGCGGTTTGAGAATCCGGGCAAGGTGCCTCGATGACAGATCAGCACACAGTTCTACTCCCTTTCACCTCGAGTACTCTCGATTCAGGGAGTGAGGGACTCCTGATAGAGTATATAGACTTGGACCCCTGGTCTCACGACTATTGGACCTAGCCAGCGGCTCACACACGCTTACCAGATGTCATTAAATTATTTTACAGTTCATATATAATTTGTATGTACTAGATTGGCCTATCAAGCCCTTATTAGCGGCCCAGCCCATCATTTCTCTATTTATACTCCCATTGGGAGACTTGTAAACCTAAGTTCATAACTCATACACAATACACTTTCTACTATTCATCTTCTTCCTCACCTCTCTTGCTCAATCTCTTCTTTAATTGTATGCTTGGATTCCTATTATCCATCAACGGTCATGAACTCTGTTTAGTCTGATGAGGTTTCTAATGGTGCTGAATATGCTAATACTACACTTAAGAGAAAATCAGATGATATAGGATGGACATGGGGAGAGAACAGAGATCTTACCACATTATTAAAGAGAAAAGGGTCAAATAAGGCCTTCTACTATGATGAAATCGTCACATAAGACCATGTACTCAATAAAGTGTCATATAAATATGTCTACTTATAAAAAACAATCGGATGAGTCCTAATGACCCGTTGACAACCTCTTAATCCTGATTTTAGCTTACGTGTCAATTTATTTGACATGTATTTCGACCAATCTTAGGTAAATATTCGACGTGTGCCGTATAATGTATTATAAAAAGATGGTTTCAAGAACACTAAAATCGGGATTAGGAGGTTTTAATCAGGTCGTTAGGACTTATTTGATTGTTTTTTACAACTAGACTCATTTATATGACACTTTATTGAGTACATGGCCTTATGTGACGATTTCATAATAGTAGAAGGCCTTATTTGACCCTTTTCTCTATTATTAAATGATTGATTTTCTTGAAGACTTTGAATGTTTGACTTTTGCTACTCCATCATTAGCGTTTTCATCATTTTACTCATTTCTATGCATTTTAAGATAATTTTAAGACTATTATATTTCTACAATCTCAGGCACTTATGTTATTAAATTTAATTAATATAAGGCCGAGTAATCATCGAGTAATCCTGACTCCTGAGTAATTGGTTTTACTCGCTACTCGTCCTTGATCGAGTTACTACCGAGTAGTGAGTTAACTACCTAGGAAATCAATAAAATGATAGAAATGCTAATGATGGAGTAGCAAAAGTCATAAGCTTTCTAAGTTTTCAAGAAAATGAATCATCTAATAATTTGGTAAGATCTCTGTTCTTTCCCCATGTCCATCCTATACCATCTGATTTTAGCACATTCAGCCTCATTAGAAGCCTCAGCAGACTGAGCAGAGCTCATGATTGTCAATTAGATGATGTGTGACAGTGTATATCAATCAGTGATGTGCCATAGTAAACAATCAATATAGTGATATTAAGTAAAAGTTACGTAGTATAATGTACTACCTCCGTCCCTTTTTATTTAGCCATCTTTGACTTTTCCAGTCAAAGGTGATAAACTTTGATCCATTATTTCAACCAATATATTTATGTAAAACTTAATAAATTTATACTTTTATGATAGTATTTTTAACAAAGAACATTTTCATATAATTTTCACATTATCAATATTATCGTGTATTAATATATAATTGGTCAAAGTTGAAGAACTTTGACTTGGAAAAAGGTGTTTGGCTAAATAAAAAGGGACGGAGGGAGTATATAGTTAGTCATACTAATGAAAAGAATTTATGTATCAAAATATATGTGTGTTCATTTCATTTTCATTGTCATTTACCCCAGTGCCACAAAGGCTCCCACTTGCGGTGGGGTAAGGGGGGGTCGTATGTACGCAGTCTTACCCCTGTACTAAAGCACAGAGATAGATTGTTTCTGGATGACCCATAGTGAAAATCGCGTCCAAAATTGCTTGGACTGACTGCTGCTTCATAGCAAAGAAGCGCAGACAGTTTAATGAGTCATTTTGCTTTATTCCAAAGAAGCCAAAAAATAATGAATCTTTGGCTCCATTGCAAATGATGGAAATAAAATATATGTGTGTTGATACTTTAAAATAAAAATCAACTGGTGAAGAAGGATGGGAGGGTGGAAGAAGAAACGAGAGAGGGGAGAGGGGAAGATGGCAACTTATTTAGAAATTGTAGTCACAACTTTAGTGGGATAGTTGATGTTAGAAATTCCGTTTAACCTAAGTTTTGTAACTTAATTTTCCAATTTTATAGGAGGGGACTGAGTTAAACCAAGTAATTTGCCAAGCTAAAAACTTCACCCAGTTGAGAAACTCGCCAAGTACTCGGCGAGTAACTCGGAAATAAAACACGGACCGAGTTAGGTACCTACTCGACAAGGTCAGTACCCGAGTTGCGAGTACTCGTCGAGTACTCACCGAGTAGATAACCCAACATACTAATATACTACATATTAGTATATTACTAGGTACTATCGTATATAATACTCATAGTACACCGAGTTTTATACTAATATGTAGTATTATTAGTTTAATACACATGTACACTATATTATTTAGATACTAGTGTAATATGAGTATATGACTATATGTCTATATGAGTCTAAAATATAGGATGAAGGGGACTGCATGAAAAGAACACGTACCTTATTTAGTTCTGTGAGAATGTCAGGGAACTGAGTTTGCTTAAGATGATGAGGAAAACTTGGTCAATGTAGAGCAGCTGGAGTGAGGAAAGTGAGTAGACTGAAGACCGATAATGGCTATAGTGTTTGACACTAGTTTTACGTTTTTGCATACGTTGATTAAGGTGATGCGTAGGTTTCACTTGTTTTACCCTATTATTTAGATGGACTGAGTGTAATTAAAGATATGGGCTAATTATTTTTGAAAGCTTTAAATCAAAATAAAGGCTGTCAGCCTTATCTGCATCAGACGATATGGGCGCGCGACTTTGTTCGCTTCTGTGCTTCATGCGCTTTTGCGCTTAAACTGCGCCTAACACCTCTGCGCGCGCCTCCTCTTCTCCCAAGCGCTGAATGTCCTACACGCTGCTCCTGGTGAGCTTAATGGAGTGTTTGCAGAAAATTAAAAAAAGTGCTTTTCAACTTTTGGCTTAAAAAAGTTGAAATAAGTCTTTTCAAATGATAGCTTCTGCTTAATTTTTTTTGAAAATCAAATAACCATTTTATTGATAATCAGATTTTAACAAGAAACATAACAACTAAAAGTCGAAGCATTACAATCATAGCGTTCAATACTACATTAGGGTGAGACAAAGAACAAAAATGCCATATAAAAGCATTCATGTTCGCTAACCCTGCAACAATGTAGACTTGTACCGCAGTGTGTCTGCTCATGCTACTCGAAATGGGTTCGGCTTGACCAGCCACCGAAAAGAAATTATTGAACTTGCCGGTTTTTCCAGCCACCGGTAATAAGCCAAGTGCAGAAATTGTTCCGGTTTGACCAGCCATAAAAAAGAAAGCAATCCATCCAATGTCATCTTCCTGGATCGGCGGTGGTTCAAGAGGGGGGCGATCGTCCTCTATATCGATGTAGAAGAAATCCTGATTCATGATTGATAAAGAAGCCAATACAAACCTCTTACTAGCACACAAGAACACCCAACCGATGATGGCGGGGAATATAGATCTGGTGAGCGACACTTCGCAACCGAAAATAATATCTCTAGACAACGTTGGGAAATAAACGTATAGATAGAACTGAAAATACCGATTAAACGAGACTTTTTCCATGATTGAAGTCAAAAGAAGAGAAGAAAAGAAGGAAGGAAGAGGAGGAGGCGGCTAGGGTTTCCCTTCGCCGCTCCTCTCTCCCCTTTCGTTGAGCGTTACTTGCTGGGCAGCTTCTGCTTAAATTAAGCACTTAAAAGCTAAAAGTTGGAAGCAGATTGAGGGGTGCTTTAAACTGCTTTTCACTTTTTCTATTACACAAAAAACACTTACTTTATCGAACACTACCAACTTTTACTTTTCCAGAATCACTTTTTTCTCAAACACTATCAACTTTTACTATTAACCACTTTATCCAAAATCACTTTAAAAAAATCACCTTTTTAAAGTGAAAGGAATCGCAAACACTCCTCAAGCAATGAGGCGTGCGTTTTTGACTACCTTGGGTGGTCAATAATAATATGCTACTATTTGAGTTAGATGAGAGAACGGCTTTGGGGAGGGCAAAGTGGAGGGAAAGCATACACGTGGAGGATTGATCTTATATTGTTTGTCTTTTCCTTTTTCTATCTAGTTTTTAACTCTAATATCATATGTTGATTCATGTTAGTCGACTCCAAATTCTTTTGTGGATAAAGCCTGGATGTTGTTGTTGACTTATTGTACCCCTTCTTTTAAGCAATCACACTCCAATTATGAAGATACTAAGTCAAAGGACTATCCTCCTATAAAATTGTGTTTTGAGGTTGAAAATATGATATTAGAGCCGATTCATTTAAATGGGCGATAGATTAAGTTAAAAAAAGAGCACAATTTACAAAATTGATCTGCTCCAACAATGTTAACTTTGTGGGGCCATGTACCCCCATCCCCATGTTAAGTGATCCAACATCCGCCCAAGATATAAACTCATATATTGGTTATTTGATTACTCCTCTTATGTGGTTCTAAGGTTTTGTGTGGTTGGGTTTGGAGGGCTAGTCTATACATCTTGATATTTAAAAATATTTAGTCCAACATAATATGCAATCTTATTACGGAGTACATTTCTATCACCTTTTACTCATCTTGAGAACCATTTTTTCCGTCATGTAGACTAGGCCCTGCAAAAGCTTCCATCAAAATACAAGAATTCAATGTTGTTACTTGAAATATTTGGGTTAATTAGTCCCATCCATTAATTTAATTGTTCAGGCCTATCATTCATTTAGTAGAATCATACAGTGACTAGTAAGTTTAATGCAGTTATTGCCTTATTCTTGTAGAATTGTAGAGGTTGAACTATAATGATATTATTCATGACCTTGTTGAATAATCATTTTAAGGTATTGATAGTATCACCGCTAAGATTATAGACATTATTTATTTTATTAGTATGACAAAAACGGATTAGAAATTACAAACTGCCAAGTTTATTTCGCATTGCGCCCTTTATTGTTGACATAATAAACATAAATGTTTTCTAGTATGATATCATTTTAGGTTCCGTTGAAGAGTATTATATTTCTCAAACCAAAATCAGAAAAAGGCTCTTTAACAGCTCAAATGGAGACCGAATCTTCAGCATCAGCGGAGATTGGCTTGTTGGGAAGCCCACAGCCCGATAATATGTTGGTCCAGTACATCGTGTTGAGGAGAGACCTGATTGACACATGGCCTCTGGGGAGCGTAATCACTCAAGGCTGCCATGCGTCAGTTGCTGCAATCTGGTCCCACAAGACAGATCCACACACGGTCAGGTACTGTGATCCTAACAACATTGACTGTATGCACAAAGTGACTCTTGAAGTTAAAGGTGAAGCCCAGATTGTGAGCTTGTCTGAGAAACTTAAAGTAGCTAGTATTGCTCATAAGTTGTGGATTGAACAACCCGAGAATATGCCTACCTGCCTTGCCACAAAACCTTATCCAAAATCACTTGTATCGCCCTTCTTCAGAAAGTTAAAGCTCTGTAGGTGAGAACAACCTCATGCTAATTTCGTGATATGTATTGCCATTAGACCTAGCCCGCTGTGTATTTCATGGCTGTTCTTTTATAGATTTATTGTGCAATGTTGTCTTTCGAGTTAGGCTCTGTTTGGCTTGTTCAGATGTACTTATTTGGTTGATATCGATTGTACCAAATATTTTCCTCTTCGGAAATACAATAGATTCAGTTATTTCTGCCAGTGTCAAATAACCCTTTCCAAGTTCCAACCCTCTGTAAGATTTTATATCTACACGCTGAGTCAATGAAGATTTATTTACTTAGAGCATCTCCATTCATGATCTTAAAATAAATGGTTTTTCTATGACACATCAAATTTATTAAATAAATTTTAAATAATCTCAAATCTTAAAACTCTCCATCAACCATGATAATCAAATAATTTAGTTTTTCTAGACCATGCATTAAATGAAATTTAACTACAACCTAAAATAATCCGGGATTCAAATCTTGATACCGGATTATCTTTTTCAATAATCTCTCTAAATAATCCCTCACTCACAATGATAATCTTTAAAATAATCTTACACATCATCCAATAAACTCTAAATAATCTAAACAATGTGGATGCCCTTAAGCAATCCATAATGGTCCGTCATGGACCCGGGCCGGGCCGGGCCCGGCCGGGCTTTTTTTTTGGGAAGGAAGGCCCGGGACCGGCCCGGGTAGCCACCGGGTCCGGTCCGGGTCCGGGCCGGGCCTCCGGTTCGGTCATAATTTTTTTTTTTAATGCTTTCCTAACCCCCCCACTCACCCCCCCCACCCCCCCAAACCCCCAAACCCCTCCTAACCATCAAGCCCAACCCGGCTAACCCCAAAAAATGAAAAAAAAATAAAAAAATAAAATCAATTCGGCCCGGGCCCGACCCGGCCGGGCCGGTTCGCCAAATACAAGGCCCGAGCCCGGACCCCCCCACCGGGCCTAGGCCCGACCCGGACCCGAGAACTGGGCCGGTTCCGGGCCCGCACAGTGGCGGGCCGGGCCGGGCCGGGCCGGGTGGCCCGAACCGGGTCCATGACTAATATTGGAAACATGGAAAGTATACTGTGCTCATCTTTGTGTATTTTTTATATAGTCCGTACTAAATACCATAAAATACAACGATTATTTGGTGAAGGTGAATTAAAAAGTTTTGTGGGTTAACTTCCTATGATAAGTGCACTGGCTTTGTGATGAAATTAAATTAAAAAAGTTTGGCGTGATAAAAAAGTCTATTCAAAGATCTTGCTTTTTGGAAGAGGCGTCAGCGTTTGTGACTTTGTGGAACTGAAATCGATGTATGCACAATTGCACATGGACATTAACCGCCTACCACACCCAAAGAGTGTTTGTACAAGACTACAAGTATCTGTGCACAGGTATCAGTTTTTGTGGTGTAGTGCAAATATTAGAATCTCGTTAATATATAGGCATCCACAATAATGAGTTGTTATTTGAATAAGTATTTGATTTCACATATCGATCGCTTTGATCATTTGGAAAGGGAAAATGCGACCATTCATTAGAAATGAAGTTGTACATGATCGGAATTTATGAGGCATCAAATTCATTCAAAATAATTTCACCTGCTTCTAGAAAAGAAGTAGATCATTTGAACATCTAGAAACAAAGGAACAGAACTTATTAGGGTAGGTGTGTGAAAAGAAGCCTATTTGATTGTGTCAAACCATGAAGACGAGAAATAGATTTGATGAGACTGTAGCGGCGGCTACAAGAAAACCATGGATCCGTCGAGTGGTGGTGGCACTGGATTCGTCGTTCCCCGCCGCCGGGGTGTTCGGAGCAGCAGCAGGCGTTGGCGTGGGCGCTGTAGATGATGGAGCGGGTGCTGGAGATTTCATCTTCCTTGGGCTAGGTGCGGAGGGGGGCTTCGTCGGGCTTGCAGCCGGGGGCCTAGTTGGGCTCTCAGCCGGGGGCCTAGTTGGGCTTGCAGCAGGAGCCTTGGCTGGGCTTGCACCGGCAGGGCTAGGCGCAGGAGGCTCTGCCGGGCTTGCGTCTGGAGCTCTGCTTGGGCTGCCACCTGGAGCTCTGCTTGGGCTCGCAGCAGGAGGTGTTTTTGGGCTTGAAGCGGGCGGCATGACTGGGCTACTAACAGGCCCTGCACGCAAAGGTATAATGAAGGTATTAGCGTCGTTTTCTCTGTCACAAATGTATTTTTTACATCTTATCATGGAGTTTACTTTTGAGAAAATCCTCCAATTGCGGAAAACATCAATGAAAGAACCATATATATAAAATAACAATATTCATATTTTAAAAGTGGGTAAAATTAAAGACTTGGACCAAAAGTTGAATCCGTTTGAATCAAAAGTGAAATTATTAGTATTATTTATACATTTGCCTACGTTGTTTAGTATTCAATTATTCATATATCGATTCATATATCATACTCCGTTATAGAAATATATTATATATAAATAAACATGAGTGCAACCAACTACTATGGATTAATAAATACTACTCCGTATTAGTTTGAGTTTATCCTGTGAGTAATAAAAATTCTTCACATGCATTGCTCGTTTCAAACTTCCAAGAGAAGCCTTCCTTTTTTGGAAATAAAAATTATTAATATTAATACTACATTTTCATAAATTGTACAAGCATATTATATTATGATACGAAAATCTATTTCACAAATTTGTAATGCTTGTAGCTAAAGCAGGCCTCCATGATATACCTCAAAACCCAAAGCTATAACAACCAAATGAAAAAACCATTCAAAATATCTTTTTCATTTTTGGTGTTTTCACTTCAAACAACCAAATGAAAAAGCCGTATATATACCAAACACTAAAAATAACTGTTTGAATAGTCAAACTGCCAAAGTCAATTCAAAACGCTGAGTTATTTCCACTTGTGGTCCTATGAGTTTATTTCCACTAATATTTCTTGACCATTTGTGATCTTCCGTCCAATTTTTTGATGCCTCTCCGGCGACTTCAACCACCGGAAATATTGACGGAAGGACCATACATGTGCGAAAAACAATAGTCTATAAAAAGTGGTCAAAGTCAAAGTCGTGGAACAATAGTGGAATTGCTGTGATACTCCTGGGACAAAAAACAGAATTTATTCGAAAGCAAAATAGTGGCTGATATGCACAACCAAAAGTCACCTATATTTGAAGTATTACTTTGGTATAACAACACATGATTTCTATTTGCTATTACTATACAGATGAGAAGATAGGGAGTATGTTTTTGGGCTTAAATTGAAAAGGAGAAGTAACAAATAGGATTGATTACCGGAACTGGAATTTGCAGAGTTATTATGTATGCCGGAAGGAACTATAACGTTGCTGATCTGCAGCAAGGAGAAATTATATGGTTGTGAAACAAGAGATGTAACTAGACTGGACTGTCCTAAGGCAGTAGGAGCAGCAGCTGTGAACCCAACGTTCCCTGACCCAAAACCCGTGATGTTTATGTAGCCTTGCTGATGATTATTCAAAGCTTCACCGCGGCTGTTGAAGAGCGTTGCCACCGTCACACTCCTGTTCCCCAACCTCTGGAGCTTTGGAGCGTCAAAGTAATCAAGAATCACATGAGCGCTCATGATTTTTTTCAGAACATTTAGCGCCGTACCGGAAAGAGATGTGGAGATGTTAGCATTGTCCACCGCTAAGACAGTGACAGGAGGAGGCGTGTGGGAGTTGATGGTTGTCGCGATCCCAGTTCGGATTAAGTAGTCGTTGAACGTGCTGAAAGACGGGTAACTTTCAAGAACTGCGGTGATGTTATAGGATGCGACACTACTAAATACGACAGCGGTATAGAAGAAGAAGAACCAGAAGAATGTGATCCCCGAATCCATATTTTGCAGTTCAATTATTACGAACGTTTGTTTTTCTTATGCATGTATTTACCCTTATTGATTCCTTTTCTTTTTTGTGGTATTATTTCAATGTGTTGAACTCTAGTGGGTAGTGCTTCGAAGCAGTGTTATGAGGGTCATTCGCAGAGAGAATCAGTAGGGGAGGAATGGAGAGGAGAATTTGGTGGTAGACTTGTGATTTTTGTAATGCCATTTGCCAATGTGTGACATAACCGTTTGCCAGGTCTTTTTCAACTTCTCAACTTTGTTGTCCCCGTTAAAGTAGGATATTCACATTCAAGCGATGGAAAATGTGTCATATTTTAAAGGCTAAAGGGTCAAATAGGTCCTTGAACTAACTTAAAGTGTTCAATTAGCCCCTTATATAGGAGGTTCTGCCCGACCGTCGCCAATTGAGGCGGTTCCCGGTGAAATTTGTTGATGAAATTTTTTGAGTATCTTCTTCATTAATTGTAGTTTACCCATACCAAATTTCAGCGAAAAATTCAACCGGGAAGGCAGTCAATTGATTTTTTGAAGATAACTGCGCGGTTAAGCAGCGCAATACATTTCGGAAAATCATTTGATTGCCTTCCCGGTTGACTTTGTAGCTGAAATTTGGTATGGGTAAACTAGGCTTAATGAAGAAGATGCTCAAAAAATTTCATCAAAAAATTCCAGCGGGAACCACCCCAATTGGCGATGGTTGGACAGAACCTCCTATATAAGGGGCTAATTGAACACTTTAAACTAGTTCAAGGGCCTATTTGACCCTTTAGCCTATTTTAAATAATGGCAGAAATATTATTTCGACAAAAAGTGACTCCCACTATAAGTGAATGTACTAAAACACTCTCTAAACTTAAATAATTAAATGACTTTCTTACTATCTCACGCTCTCCATCACGCCCAGAAGTGCAACCTTCCTTTGTAACTACAACACTGCCACCCCTTTATCGCCCAACACCGCTGATAGCCGTTATATATACATATGTTTACATAAGTATTTATAAGTATTTGTTGAAGAGAAATTGGGTAAATGCTTTGAGAATGAGAGCTAGAACATAAAACATTGCGATGAACGACTTTTTGGACCAAGATGACGTTGTTCTCATGATTCGAGTATAACTCATTGTAGAGAATTCCAAACGAACCATTCAAATTTCACGTGAATTAAAACTCAATAATCTACAAATGTTGTGAAGACGTCATGACCAGAATATGAAAGGATCAAGACCTAATCTATCAATAAAGCTAGATATTGCTGGTGGGATTTCGGGATTCATACCTCTCTCTGTTTTGTCCATAACTTTTGATTGGATGATTTCTTTCACTTCATTAAAGTTTTGGTGGATAGAAAATTTCATTATCTACAACTTTAGTGATGTCATGTCCAAATTCGTAATGGAAAAAAGACATGTTGACCGGCGCCGGTCAGCCTACAACCGGCGCCGGTCCAATGTGAATTTAAAAAAAAAACCTGTAATCACCCGGGGCCGTTCGTTTGAAGTAACCTGCGAAAAATACATACAATCGACGCCGGTCACTTGACCAACTGGCGCTGGTCGGCTTGGTTTCTGCACAAAACAACAGAACATGCTAAAAATTTGAGAAAATATGTGAAGATTTGGTGGTTCAGAGCTAAGAAGTTTCCTTTGATTCGATTTTTGATCGTGAATAGACTAAAAGATGTCAATCTTTAGCCTATGTAAACCCCCATTTCCATCACTTAATCATCACCATTCCATAGCTTAACTCATAGTTTTTTTTGACAAATCTTTGTAACCTATTATAATATTTGTTCTGTTATGGTCAACATCATATCCTTGATCTGGAATTTGATTCGAACCTATGACCTCCTCTTTCGGAGTGTCACAGTGATGCCATCAGAAGACAAGGTACTTGACAGCTTAATTCATAGCTTTTATATTTTTGTTCTTGATATTTTCTTCAAGTTCTTGAGGAGTAAATATTATCCTCCGAAATCATTGGTGTTTGGGTATTATTTTCACTGTAGTTCCATATTTCATTACATTTAATTGTTGTATTGTGATATGAGCATTAGAGGCTAATTTCTTAGCTAAGGCTAGGGATGAACCTCTATGCCCACTAGGTGTTTGATAAAAGTTCTAAACCAATAAATTGTGATTTATCCTTTAAACTTTGATTGTTTATGACTATGGTGTACAACATAAAAGTATGTTAAACTTAGTTTATGCTTAAAGGATAAACATATACAGTACCGAGAATAGAAATATATATGGTCTTATATGATACGAGTGTAATGTCTTGATATTCGACGGGGTTTTCAATAGATGAATATATATGGTCTTATATGATACGAGTGTAATGTCTTTATATGGTTTACAACATAAAAGTATGTTAAACTTAGTTTATGCTTAAAGGATAAACATATATAGTACCGAGAATAGAAATATATATGGTCTTATATGATACGAGTGTAATGTCTTTATATGGTTTTCAATATATATAGTCCCATTGGACTTTGCCAACTTTCCTTTTTTACTTGTCCCAAAAAACTTTGTCACTTTTCTATTCAAGCAACTAATTTGTGGTTCTGCACATTTCTCTCTCCTCTGCACAAACTTTGACCACACAGTTTTTACTATTCTTAATTTTCACCTAACTTGAACTTGGCAAAGTCTACCGGGACGGACGTAGTATATAAATATGTATACCCATTAAACATTCATATTTATTTATAATTGAAAAAAAGAAAAAAACATCATCTCAACTGAGGTATCATCCATTTCCTTTTCTTAAAGACGTCTCATTCCGATATTGAAGATTTCGTTCTCCATTACATCCTTCAATGTACATTGAGGACAATGTAAATCAAGTGTGAGGGGCGAATAATTAGTTTTGAAATTTTTTCATCACAATTTTTTCTTCTAAGAAGGTTAAATTTTTTGATATTATCTCTTTTAAGGGGTTTGATTGAGAATGATTTTCTTTTACGCACAAAAATGTCATTTTAGACTAATTATATTTTTATTTAATCTTGAAACCATCTCTTTCACCCAAAGTTGTGTCGGTTTCCCAAATCCATAAACATTTGCATGGAGGGCAAATTGATAACAAAAGTTTTATCCCAAATACAAATCACTCTATGTTATCACTTCATCCTCATTTTGACAACCCAAAATTACAATTACGGAGAACCAACCAATGAGTTTAAAACAAAAAACAAAAGAAAGAAAAAAAACTCATGTTCTCCTAGAATGCCATTCTTTACAAAATCAAGTTGTCAACCCATAAAAGTCACTGACATATCTCCTATATTGCCTAAATTGTCACAAAATAAACCGATCGAGAGTTGAAATATTTTTCTTAATCTTAAATACATTTATCATGAGTAATTGGAAAAAGGTGTTTGGCTCGCGAAGGCTTAAAGCGTTCATATCTAATTTCTATCATTTTATTGAAAACTTAATTTGCACGGTTTAGTTTGTTCTCTAACTGTATATCTTTACAAATAATTGTTTGAAGACAAGCAACGCTCAAGTGTAGGGGATTTGATAGTCGTTATATTTACTTATGTTTACATAAATATTTTTAAGTATTTGTTGAAGAGAAGAAGAGAAATTGGGCAAATACCTTCAGAATGAGAGCTAAAGTATAAACATTGCGATGAACGGTTTTTTGGACCAAGAAGATGACATTCTTCTCATGATTTGAGTGTAACTTATTGTAGATAATTCCAAATGAATCGATTCAAATTTCATGTGAATTACAACTCAACAGTCTACAAATGTTGTGAAGACGTCATGACCAAAATATGAAAGGATCAAGGCCTAATCAACCAATAAAGTCAGAGCTTGTTGGTGAGATTTCAAGATGCATACCTCTTACGGTTTATCCATAACTTTAGTTCGCGGGTGAAAGCACACATCGAGGGGGGGGGGGGGGGGGGGGTTTCTACTTTACTTAGGGGTGGGCAAAAATCCCGGTCCCGATGTCCCAAACCGAAAAATCCCGATACCATTCCGAAACTATCCCGATCCATTTAGGATGCAATTTTTTCATCCCGAATCGGTCCCGTACCGATATTAACCGGGACGAGACCGGGATAACTATAAAATATCATGTCCCGTCCCAGTGTCCCGTTTGAAATTAGTAGGTTATTTTAAATTTCTAATGCTATGTAATAGTCAAACCCAATTAAAACTTTCTAGCTCTAAGTCCCCTTAGTTTAATTTTATCTTATTCCATGTGTCTCTCTTAGTTTCGTTTCTTTTGATTAAAATTTGTTTGGTTCTCATTCCGATACTACTCCATAATACTACCTCCGTTTTTTTTATTAGTCCTCTTAGGCTTTGGCACGGATTTTAATAATAAAGTAGTAGGGTAAGTATAGAGTGTGTAGGGTAAATGATAAAATAAGAAAGATGGTATATTAAAAAGAGTAAAGTGATGATAAAGTAGGAAAGAGAGTGTATTAAGAAGAGTAAAGTGATGGTAAAGTAGGAAAGAGAAAATAGTTTGTAAAAAGTAAGTGGGTAAAAGTAATAAAAGTGGGGGTATTTTCTCAAAAACTTTCCTTAAAGGGAAAGGAGGACAAATAAAAAAAACGTCCCAAAAAGAAAAGAAGGACTAATAATTATTTATGATGGGATAACTACTGCTCCAAAATAAAGTGTTGTTATGGATTTAATATTTTCCAAAATAGCTACTAGAAAATATATATAGTCCTTGTAGATATGATATTTAATTTAATGTGGCATTGAAAATTGTAAGTGTACTACAAAGTATAAAAATATTTTTCGCTACTATTCTACGAGGAAACACAAGATTAGGGGGGGACAAAAGAAATTTATAAGGCAATAATGAAAAATAGTTAATTAGAGGTTTTACTTAACATTTTAGAGAAGCTAAATTTTCAAAAATAGTTACGTCTTTATTTTGATGTTATGCTTACTTTTATATAACATTTGACAAATGTATATTTTATGGGACGTCCCGAACCGTCCCGTTTTTTCTCGGGATGTCCCGGTTCCGTTTTAAGTGGGACAACATTTGAATAAAGACTTATCCCGAACCGTACCGGACCGTTATTATAATACCAGATCGGGACCTGACAAGTTAAAATTTGTGACTCATTTTTGTCACAATTCTATACTTATTATTTGCCTAATTAAGAGGTTTGTGTTATATTTTTTTTGTTAAAAATGATTTTGTACAGGTGATAAAAAGGGATTTAGAGCTGGATGTTTTAAAATAGGACATTGACTCCTACGCAGCC